GCAGCGAGCACTGAAAGCACTGAGCACATCAGTCATAAACAACAAAGCAGGGACGAGTGGGTGCCCTTGTGCACTCAGGACAGTTGGAAATAGCCTCTCCCTGCCCTCGGGCTATAAAATTCAGATCAGAGTAAAATGTGATACATCAAAATCATCCCAGTCAGCAGCAGCGTCTCTGTAAATGCTCCTAGTCTATTTAATGGAATGTGAACTCATGTTCTACTTAGTGAAATACGAATTCTTTTTCTAAACACTTCTTTCTTCTAAAACTACCACATTCGTCAGATTTACAGTGTACGTTGTCAGTTTATAAAGACAGATATTTGTGATAATAAAGGTGGACATCTCTGAAACAGTAGAATCAAGGTCCAAAAGCCACTGAGTCTGCTTTGCAGCTGGAACAGGCACGATGTATGAAGTGGGAAGTCCCAGGACAATTGGAAGGCAGCACTTCTCTCTGCAGCCTGCCCCGACCCCGGCCCCGACCCCGACCCCAGGGCCTTTCCATTTCTTGGGCCTCGAGCATCTCCTCCAGAGAGACACCTGGCTTCTCACTTCCTCCCTTGCATCAAGTCTCTGCTCAAAAGTCACCTTATTATGCAGCTTTCACCCCTGCAAACACCACCTAGCCCTTCTGTCTCCCTCTCTCATTGTTATTTCCCCCCCTTATCACCTCAAATATTCCTCCTATGTGCTTGTTTACTTGTTTATGGTCTGTCTCCTCCTACGAAAATGGGACCTTTGTTTGGTCCACAATGTCCCATACAAAGAGCTCAGTAAATATTTGAACATAGTTCCTTTAAATGAACACAAAGGAAAAATAGAAGGTTTCTGGAATTCAAAACTGCAAGTCCCCAACCCCCAGATAGTTCCGTCAGTAGCTAATGGTGTAGCCACTTCAAGTACATTTTTCTTCATGTAAAAAACACAATTCACATTTTTCACTACACCATTAACTTGAATTACCGTTTCCATGCTGTATTTGCCTAGGTTCTTTTTGAAACAAGTTTCTGCTCAATTAAGCTGCTTTGAAATAAGTGTTCTTGAGTATTTAACCAAAACGATAGGTGTTCTCTGTAAAAAAAAAAAAAAAAAAAAGAGCTTCTGCTTCCTTACTTTTGTGGAAGTTATGTGTTCTAGGTAGAATAGCACTTGCTTTCAAGAATAGAGATAAATCATATTGATTTCCAGAAGTTTTACATTGTGGCCTGTAATCCTCAATGCACTTAACCTTGAAAGAAGAGTTGGTTGTTAAGAGACTACGTTCCTTGGCACATTCCAGAATTGTTTTTCGATGCTGTGGGTTAAAAAATGAATTGATTTCTTCCAGCATCATGCCCCTAACCTCCTATCCCAGAGAAAATCACGCAGGTCCCCAGATTTCAAATGTGAACTGAAAGAATAAATATTTTTGAGAAGTCTGATAAATATGGAGGAGTTGAACTTAAAACCCTTTCTCTTTTCTTTCTAAAGAACTTTTCGATCTTCCATCCTCAATAATTAAGAAGAAAGTTCATTTCAGTGGGGAAAGTAAAGAGAACGTCATGAGGAGTGAGAATTCTGAGAGTCTGCTCACCTCCAAATCCAAGTGCAAAGACCTGAAGAAAAGGCTTCATGCTGCTCAGCTCCGTGCTCAAGCGTTGTCAGATATTGAAAAAAATTACCAACTGAAAAGCAGACAGATTCTGGGCATGCGCTAGCCTAGCAGAGAGCCCCAGAGCTGTGTACAGTGTTTAGCCTTGCCTACCCTTTAAAGATTGATATTCAACTGCTGTCGCTCTACATACTTGGTTCTATGAGCCATGCCTTTCTGTATAGTGAGCAAGATATTTTGGAATTGCTTTGGTTGTTCTGCAACAATTGTACGAAATGTCCACACCTTTAATTTTTCTTTCTTTATAGAAAGAATGACGTTTTCTTGGTTGGTTGGGCTTTTAATCCTGTGTGTGATTACTACTGGAACATGAAACATGACATTCTAAATGTTGGGGGAAAATAATGTTAGGAAAAAAGTACCCAGGTATAGCACTTAGAAGGTTTAAACGACTGAGTGGCATTCTTACAGTTGTGGTGCCCAGATGTAAGGTTTTAAATGTTCTTGAGCTTAGAGAACCTAGTTGGGTACAAATCGGCCACGAATACTGTGACCTCTTGCTTTTAAGTGTCCCGTTGGTCTGCGTGGAAATCTGTCACCTTTTGTGAAATTCATCACTGTGATGTCTATATTCTTCCTTTTTATTCTATTTAAGAGTGTTTCAGCTGGCTGTCATTTACCACCTGTTTCTCACTAAATAAAAGCATTGTTTAGTTTTCCTATATTTATGTCTCTTGCATTTGTTGATCTCTTAGTTCAGGGCGTCTGTGTGTGTGGTTCATGGGCACTAGCAGGCAGAGGAGAGAACTCCCGTCTGGCAGGCACTCACAAGCGCTGTGATGGTATTTTACTCTCCATCTCATTAATCCGTCTAAGCCAGTCCTGAACTAGGGGCCACTTTGCCCCCCAGCGGACATTTGGCAATCTTTGGAGACAGAAATTGTAATAGTTGCAGGGAGGGCACTTCTTGCATCTAGTGGGCAGAGGCCAGGGGCGCTGCTAAATGTCCTATGATGCACAGGACCACGCCCACCACAAAATATCTATTAATAGTGCCATTCCTTTTTCTTTCTTTCTTTCTTTTTTTTTTTTTTAAATAGTGCTACTCTTGAGAAATCTGATCCAGGCTAAAACTTGTTGGAACATACCCAACCCTTGAGGGAAACTTAGTTTTGATGGATTCTTTTTTTACGTGTCGGACTTAATATGAATCAGCAGGGCTTGCTGTGCCCTGCACAGTTTGTGATGTTTTCCTAGCACTGCTAATCTTTTCGGCTTCATGAAATAAGACCAAATTATGAAGGGTTAATAATAAATGGGAATATTAGCTCTTTTATTGCTGGTTTATTACACAGTTGATAATGCAGTTCCATCAAAGACAAATGATATTATCGAAACAATCAGGAACTAGTTTCCATGGCTTTAGGGTATGCCCACAGATTAAGCCGAATCAGACCACTTTGATATAAATGTTGAATATAATTTGCAGGGCCCAGTGCAAAATAAAAATGTAAGGCTCTTTGACCAAAAAGCAGGAAATAGATACCATCAAAAGCACATGAAAAGCCTTGTCCTTTCTTCCAAGGTCTCTCTGCTTATGGTGTTGTTATTTAATGTTTAAAGTAAAGAAAACATTATAAATGATTAGCATGAAGTTTAGCACTCTTTTATATTGTGCCATGGCAGTTTTTTTTTTTTAAGATTTTATTTATTTATTTGACAGAGAGATAGCACAAGTAAGCAGAGAGACAGACAGAGGGAGAAGGAGAAGCAGGCTCCCCGCTGAG